TGTTTTCTACAAGACCCAAGACACGGTCAATGGCACCATTGCCCGTTGGATGCCATGGATGGCTTTCATCGACCAGTGTAACATTTTCCCCGATCACATCCTGAAAAAGTCCAACTGTTTTGCGGATGCTCTTTCACGACGTCCGGACCATTGTACCACAGTTTACTCGACTTTCGAGAGCGATGATGACTTGCGGGACAGCGTCAGCTGCAGCTACCAAGCCGACCCCGAGTTTTGTGACAAGTACACAAATTGTTCCTCTTCAAATCCAGCGTCATCGCACTATCGGATCCAAGAGGGATATTTACTCATCCACTCATAGGGGAAGGATGTTCTTTGCGTGCCAAGTGATTTACACTTGCGTACGCGGCTTCTTGGCGAGTTCCACGATGCTCCAGCCACCGGACACTTTGGAGTCAATCGTACGATTGGCCGACTTCACGAGCATTTTTTTGGTGGCCCGGCCTTTTCGGCGACGTCACATGCTATTGCGAGTCATGCGAGGTTTGCCGATGTTGCAAATCCCGCAATCATCGTCCGTACGACGAGTTGCGACCATTACCGGCCCCCTTGAGACCAGGCCGTTCCCGAAGCACATGGCCGGTGTGGATGAAATTCTCACGGTGGTCAATCGACTCACCAATTTTGCCATGTGTTTGTCTTGCCACTATCACACCAAGGCACCGGAATTGGCCGAGGTTCTTTACGTTGGTTGGATTCGAACCAAGGGTTACCCCAAGGAGATCGTTTGCGAACATGACACTCGGTTCATGTCCGATTTTTGGTTGGCTGATGGCCAAATGGAGAGGGCGCATCAGACTGCACAGGTTCTTCTTCGCACTCTCATCCGTCCCGGCCAAAAAGCTTAGGTTGAGTGGTTACCGGATGTCGAGTTGGCATACAACTCCTCCATTCACCCGGGTATCAGGATGTCGCCCTTTGAGTTCGAGCATGGCTCGCAGGTCACTTCTCCGTTGGACACGATTATCCCTCGGGCGGCCGAGAGCGACAACCACCTTCTCTTCATTCATCGGACGCAAGAGCTTCTTGCCAAGGCACGCGATCAGATGTCGAAGACACAACAACGTATAAGCCAACAGGCCAATCGCCAGCGTCGTCCTTGTCCATTCCGAGCCGGCGACCTCGTATGGGTATCCGCCGCAAAATTCAGCCTCAAGCAAGATATCTTGCGCAAGCTCCTTCTGAAATGGATGGGGCCCTGGCTCATCGTGGCACCCGCTAGGGATGCACCCGAAGGACCTTCATTTGTCATTCAGGTGCCTGCCCATTTGCCCGTCTACCCAGTCTTTCATTGTTCCAAGTTACCTCTGTTCACTTCAGCGGAACACGACGACTTTCCCGGGACCCGGTGACGATCGCAAGACCCACCCTCTATGGACGGTTTTCAAGACGTTGGCAACATCATCTCCCAATGAAGGTATGGCGACAGGCCGACAGAGTACCTGGTACATTTTTCTTATGCAGCCATAAGGCTGACCATTGGTTGATCCGTGCGGAACTTCAGGCAACAGCCCCCGACGTTCTCACACGTTATGAACGCAAGCTACAAGGCAAAACGGTACCTCCAGCTCCACGTCGTACCCGCTTTCAGGTTCCGCCACTGGGTTGTCAGCTTCGCCCTCGACCCGGCTTGACTTCCTAAGGAGGGGGTGGTGTTACATGCTGCGCCTTCACACAGGACCCATCAGGGGCCCGACGGTTGCTGAGGGGGCCCCAGGCCGCGTGCCCTTCAGACACGCGCCTTGGAGGCCCACAGAGGCCCTTAGGCCGCAGGTACGGATTTGCGGCAGCATTTATTTATTTTTGTTAGCTGTCCTATTTTTGTCTGTTCAGATGTCGTTTCGGACTTGCAGTCCAGGAGGCAGGGCCTGCTGGGCCAGGTGCAGGGTCTGCATGTCCGGTCGGGACTCAGACCCGAGGGGCCCACGTTTTTGGGCAGGGCCAGAAGCACACGGAGGCAAACCGGCCGGCCCAGCGCTGTATACAGCTGGGCGATGGCCATGGCAGACACACAGTTTGAGTAGCTCACTTCTTGGGTGACACGCTGCTGGAGCAGCGCTGGGGCTACAGCGCTACACACAGATAGAGGTAGAGGCGTAGGTAGGCAGAGGGGTGTAGTACATACCTGCAGCGGCAGACTTACCTGGCGCCATAGATGGGACTGCGCGCGGCAACCTGCACGTGACGACGACGACGATGGTCAGTCCAGCGGCCGTTCCCTGCAGGTGAGACCAAGAGGAGGACGATATCTTCTTCTTCGTCGTCTTCTTCTTCTTCTTCTCCATCTCTCCTCCCTCCTATCTTCTTCTTCTTCTTCTTCTTCTTCTTCTTCTTCTTCTTCTTCTTCTTCAGAGAGAGTACAGGCAGAGGTTACATTGGGCATTCGGCCCAGGATTTGATCCGACATTTCTGTGGCAGACATTGATTGCACACTCAGCAAGGGACTATTTTTGGACTTCGCTATCGCAATCTTGGTCTTCTCCCTCGCCTCCATGTTCGTCTCGCCTCTCCCCCCCATCTCTCATCCGTGGTATCTCCATGTGCGTGTACAAGGAGGGACCTTTCTTTGTCTGTATGTGGTCCCTCCTCCCTCTCTCACATGTGTGATGTATGATGGGATGCCGCGTCAGTACCAGACAGGTCAGGTCATATCTTTGAGTCTTCCATTGCGCTACATTGTGCTATTTTGTATGTATCGGGATGTACATTGCTTCTTGATGCTTGGCTGACATTGCATTGTCCATTCTAGTCCTTTTCATCACTCTGCGGATCCTTGGCTCCATATACATTGCCCAACTGGGCATGTATGACAGTATGAGTGTGTGTGTGTGTGTATGTGTGTGTGTGTGTGTGTGTGTGTGTGTGTGTGTGTGTGTGAACTTCAAGGCAGAGGCTGACTGAAAGGAAAAGGAACACACGAACGCAGGCAATTCACACACACCTGCCAGGCTCCGCTCCAGTATACAAGGCAGTAGGCTTTTGTTTTCTCTTTTTCTTGATTTTTTTTTCTTTCTCTTTTTTGAAGTATGTCACATTTCTATTATCCAACTCCACAAGACCGGGGGGAGCCCAACTCCCGAATGACTTACCCGCCTGAGTCCCCTCCTCCCTTCCTCCCCAGGCCGGGGAACTGATGCAGTCAACTCAACCCACCCCAACGCCTGATCAAACACCGCCTCCCCTGCCCAACGACCTGCCCCCGGTGTCGCCACAGCCTCCCCCCCAACTTCCGATGGTTCCCCCCCCTCTCGTGCCGCCACCACMCCCGGCCCTCCCGGTGGACACCGCCCCCCCGACCCCTCCCGCTCCCCCTTCTATACCTACGGCCCCTTAACCGTTCACTCCCCCCCCAACCCCCCCCACTCCCAGTCAACCCCCGCCCCCTAACCCCTACCCTCCTGAACCTGCTGGGCTCGCCGCCCCGTTCCCCAGCAACCCCCATCGAGCCAGCTGAGCAGACCAAGTACCGTGAGGCGCAGGGTGACAGCACAGAAGACAGCTGCAACTTGAGCGGCCACCTGCACAAGGATGGCCAGTTAATGCTGCGATCTCTACCACAGGGGGAGAGACAACGACAAAGGAGGACAACCAAAAACAAGCTACCACAACATAGTCAGAGGTCCTACATGGAGGCCTGCTCAATACAGAGACTGAGACCAGGCAACCAGGTTCCCCCTGAACTACACAAAGACGGAAGAGGAAAGATGGAAGCAGGAGCACCCCAACAGCAGGAGCTGGATCCTCTGAACAATAGACCTCTTAACAGCGGCACCAGAAGAGGAGGAAGGAGGAATTCAGCAATAAACATAGCAGGAACAACTGGGCCCTTCAGCAGTACGAAGGCCCACAAGCAGGACAATAGCATAACAACTGGGACACTAGACCCGGTTTCAGCAAACTCAACATTGTCTTGTAATATTTGGGACGCTGGACCCGGTTTCCAGCAAGTGCAGCTCCCCACCAATAGATGGAGCCTTCACCCAAGGGACCACTTGAGGGAGATGCTCTTATCACTCTCCCAAGTGTCGCCCTCGACAGAAGTTTTCATTTAAGAAAAAAAGAAAAAAAAAAAGACTGGGGTGCATGCCCCACTTGTTGAAGTTTCGTTCAGGTTTCAAGTATTTTTCAACGTTGTCACACTGTGTTGAGTTGATAGTTGATAAAAGGAACAAGAATCAAAACAAGTCAGAAGACAAGTTGAAATTCAAGTTCGTCCATGACAAAGTCGTGAAAAAAGACAGTCGTCTCATTCTCCGTAAGATAGATAGGAAGGATTAATAACACACGAGAGATGGCGTCCCCCAGTCGTCTCATTCTCCGTAAGATATATAGGGAGGATTAATAACACACGAGAGATGGCGTCCCCGACGCCGTTTCGGCAACAGCCACGTTGCCTCTTCAGGGGGTTCACCGCCAAAACATCGTACCCAGATCAACAACGCTAAACCACTAACCCGCTTCCGTCACTTCCACTACTGCCATTCCGGAATGCCGTGTAGCGGTCAAGTTCTGTCAGTCCCGTCAAGGAGGTCGACTATCGTTGAGGGAGCTACTATTTAACAGAGGGAACAGTGAACACCACCAAAAGCCATGGGTACTAGTCCCAGACCATACCCGACTGGGACGGTACCAGCCGGACAAGTTTACCGGCCGCGCTAAAAAACAGAACAGCAATGCTCCAAAAACAATTAACAAAAACCGGCAACCCTGGTACTGGCCCCAGGCGAAAACAACTGGGACGGTACCGTCCAGGCCCATTTACCGGCCGTACTACAAGTACCGAAAAAACATTAAAAAAAAAAAAAAAAAAAAAAAAAAAAAAAAAAAAAACAGAAACGATACGGGACCATCATAGTTCTGAAAAAAGAACCCTGTCCGACGATTACCCAATCGAACGGTCAAAAGAAAAGCATCTAAGTCCTAGGACAAATCCATGTCACCGAAACCACAAGGGAAAAGCACAGAAGAAACACTAATCTAGCAACCATAGCTACAGCTCAGGACCCCGTAAGAAATACGTTAGTCCAGAGCAACCATCAATCGAAGTATGTAGTATCTTACTCCTTTGCTCTAGGAAACAGCAAATCAACAGTCCACTTCCAGATAGAATCCTTGTCCACAGCAAAGGATTTCAGTACACGTTCAAAAGCATCTTCGGGGAACCCTTTCAGTCTCAACTCACATTTTACAGTCAGTACCCTCATTGGAATCTCAGCACGAATAGTGGTGTTCTGATTTATCCGGTGGAGGTAACTTGCCATGATCACATTCTTCGGCTGCTTGCTGCTCCAAGATGAGTAAGACTGACCGTTCTTGAAGATCAGCTTCTCATCCGTCCAGATAGACTCCTCATTTTTAACCAACTGCACACAACCGAGGTACGCTTGGGTTTGCTTGGTGCGGATTTCGAACCCCAAAAACTGCGAAGTCCCATCACCTGAGTCAGTTCTCTTCAAAACCAAGTTCTCCGGGTAACATCGGTCGAAACTTTGCAGTATCATCCATTGTACATCTGCAGTCACAGCCGATGTAAACAGAACAACATCATCCATGAGCCTAATCCCAAACACATTACTCCTCAACTTCCCCAGGCTGTTCAGAAACTTACACTCAGCAAAGGCACACAGGATGCGGGCCAGAGGCGGGCTAGTACTCTTACCCATGGGGATTCCTACAACTTGCTTCAGAAGGACTCCCGTGGTGTACGTGTATGTGTGCCTCAACTCCAACAACACGAACTTCACCATGTCACTCGAACTCAACTCTCTCCAATTGTCAGAACCTGTTGTTTTCCCGAAGGAAGCTCCCCTCCGCCTAGTATTAACACGAACCATCACCTTTCCTTTACTTTGAAGTGGTTTACAATCCAAGAAACCGCATCCATGATATACTTGTGGGGTAACCTGCTAAACATGTCTTTGATATCAAATGCCGTCGATTCAATACCCACTTCTATCTTCTTATCGACCTTTCTGTTGATGCGCTGAATTCTACGGGCGAGGTTGGATACAGATTTCAAATTAAAGTGACAATCGATGGGTAATTGGAAGAGTAGGTGATTCAAGCCCTTCGCGACAAGGCGTCCAGTCTTCACCATTGGTTCATTGAAGGTTGGACAGATAGGTCGAAACCTATTAATGTCCTTGCATTTTGGTAAGGCATACGAGATACCCAACTGTCCCTTACAATCCCATTGTACCATTTTACTCGACCCTTCGTCAAGCACATCAGTTCTTGTAGCTTTCAGCACAGCGTCCTCAGAACTTTGAACAATCCTATAACCTGGACTTGTCACAAACAAACTCATCATAGCTCTATGATAAGAGTACTGGACACATCACGAGGGTTTCGCCTGCATTTCGGTCAAGTGCGGTAAGCATGAACCCCTCCAACTCAGCCTTGACCTTATCGACGTCACGTCGTGATAACCTGTCCGAATTCTCCCCATCATATGAAAGACAGAGAGCAAAACCAGCGATGTCGAACGAAGGAACTGGTCCCTTCAAATTATACTGATTTGCAAAGCCACTGATGACTTCCTGTTGGAGTAAGGCCGCTCGTTTGGGAACATCGGCACGAGGGATATCATTAGCATTCGCCAATTTTTATGATGCAAGCCACCATCGCATAAGCGGAAGCATGTGTGACCATCCTCTCTCGGATGAGTCGATCCTGCACATACACAGGTAGCAACTTCTCGAGCTGCGAATGCTCGTTGATTATGAAGAATCTGGCCGATTGATAGGTTTTTGACCCAAACAATACGAACCTTCTTCCGAGCACGCTTCTGGCAACACTCAGGTAGCTCGCATCCCATAATCCCATCGTTAGCTAACTTTCTCAACTCAGAAAGCCGAATCCGGTCATCAAATCTCACGTGGATAACGAGATCCGCAGACATACTCATTCAAACTTATTACAGACCACACGAGATACCAAACGCCTCAAGTGCTTTCTGGTAGATTTTCTACTAAAGTCTTTAATCGCGTTGAAGAGTTTCATAACCGACTTTAGGGCCCGTTCGTAGATTTATGAGATCTTTGCTGGGTTTCTGAAAAAAAGCAACAAAAGATTTTTCAAAAAACCATCCTTCGACTTCCACACCCTCACGTAATCGATTACGAACGTCCCACCGCCTTCCAAAGCATTCTTGCACGATTTCAACAAACAAACGTTCTTCTCCGTCTTGACACTGGACTCCCCAAACTTCTTACGAAACTTCTTCCAACCACCCTGCCACATATTACCCCCATCGGTAATAATTGTCAACCTACGTTGACCTACTTCATCCTTCGCAGAAAGGAGATTAAACAAATTCAAGTGGCAACCCTCCTCACCAGTACATCGAAAGGAGATAGGAAATACGATTCGTTGAGAATCAACCACTCTAGACTTATGTTCCCTCCTACCTTTCCGATTTTTCTTCCTTCCTTTGCTACTTTTGGTACAGCCAACACTATTCAGGAACGGTGACCATTGTTTGATGTATAATTCTTCCAACGCTAGAAGGTCCTTCCCAACTAAGTGGTTGATTGGTAATAACACGTAGTTATTACTTCCAAAAGTACACAACCATTTGTGGAAGTGAGATCATCGTTTTTTACCTGCGCAGCTCGAAACATGCTCTCTCCAACACGTATCACTACTACGAGTGGTCTTAACTATGTACCAATGCTTACACACAGGTGAGATGGCTACGTAGACAACTTTCTTTAGAGTCAAGAAATCGGTGTCGTGAGTCTCGAACAACCGATGCCACCAGTCGACAAAGTTCTTTGTCCATTTAAGGCAACCGCGACAACTCAATACAAGAATACACAGTCGTAACAGTTCCTCAGCGTCACAGTCTAGGCTCTTAGAATTACACCTGAGGCTAGTCAGTATGCGCATGATCCGTCATATGTCGTTAGTTCTGTAGACACATCAAGCTTCGTCATCGACTTCTTCCTCATCCCCCCTAGTGGAGTTGTCCTCCGGTTCATCGGCAGCAATCGAAACATCAATCGGTTCGATTTTCCCGAAGTGCGCTCGTGTACGATAACTAGCGATATCAAAGATCGCGTCAACTTTTTCGTTATAGGTGATACCCTCATCCTTGCATATCGCCTGAAGTTCCTACGTATCCAGCCGTCGAAGATCTTCCATCTGTTGGTTGCGGTAACGCAATTTTGCAACTTTGTCCGGCTGCGTAGGGCTCTTCTTCAATTTCTCCACGAATGGTGAGAGCTTCGTCTTCACCTTAGCCTTCGAGTGCGTGATACGCCCCGGGGTGCCAGCTTCCTTCTCCCTCGTTCGTTGAGGCGTACGTTTTATCGGGGTCAGCATCAGGGGGCTGTCATCAAACACTCGTTCAAGACCCCGCTTTCTCTTCTCGCTAATCATCAAGCTACCTGTTCGTGCGCGAATCTCCTCCGTCTCACTCTCACTACTTCCAAGGTCTTTAGGTACGTGCACAACTTGCTTCTTGGCCTTAGCCTTGCGGACAAAATCCAGTACCGGTCCAAGGTTTGCCTCCATCCGGTCAGAGAAGGTACCCGTCTTAATCGCCAGTTGTATCTCCAACTTCTTATCGATCTCCGCATCACGTTGTGCATCCCTTCGTTGTCTATCCACGTGTTTTTTCTCCGTCCTCTCACATGTTCTTCTCTCCTGCTCAATCCGTTCCGCTTCTTGGGCAACCTCCTGCTTCAGTTGTTCTTCTTCGGCCTTCTTGGCCTTCTCCGCTTGGACGAATTCAGATACCGATGCGAGGCTCTTGTTAAGTTCTTCAATCTGCAGACGCAACGCCTACGGCTCCGGCTGCCCGCTTTTTTCCTTCACCTCACCTTGACTCTTCCTCGGTGATGTCAACCGACCACGATGATCGCCATACGAGGTAGAAGGATTACTTTCCGGAGCACGCCAGCGATGCCTGCATTGGTTAGCGCAATCACCTCGTTCGCTGCAGTTGAAACATCGAGGTTGCGATCGCCTTGGATATCTGTCGACGCCCCGGTCTTGATTACGGTCATTTTGGGGATACCCGCCTCGATCTTCAGATTCTTCACTGCTCGACCGTCGACCATGTTGGTCATATTCACGCCGGCCTCCCATCCTTCACAAATTTCTCATCAAACAGAAACTCGCCAAGCTCCTCGATCCGTAATAATCATACGACAGTATCCAAGTCACAGTTTGAATTCAACAGTGACAGTCAATGCACGCTCACTCATCCCAGTAATTTTCCCCCAAGAGAGTTCACGTGCGAAGTAGAGAGTTGATAAAAGGAACAAGAATCAAAACAAGTCAGAAGACAAGTCGAAACTCAAGTTCGTCCATGACAAAGTCATGAAAAAAAACAGTCGTCTCATTCTCCGTAAGATAGATAGGAAGGATTAATAACACACGAGAGATGGCGTCCCCTTCAGGGGGTTCACCGCCAAAACATCGTACCCAGATCAACAACGCTAAACCACTAACCCGCTTCCGTCACTTCCACTAACGTCATTCCGGAATGTCGTGTAGCGGTCAAGTTCCGTCAGTCCCGTCAAGGAGGTCGACTATTGCTCAGGGAGCTACTATTTAACAGAGGGAACAGTGAACACCACCAAAGGCCATCGGTACTAGTCCCAGAACATACCCGACTGGGACGGTACCAGCCAAATCAGTTTACCGGCAGTGCTAAAAAACAGAATAGCAATGCTCCAAAAACAATTAACCAAAACCGACAACCCTGGTACTGGCCCCAGGCGAAAACAACTGGAACGGTACCGTCCAGGCCCATTTACCGGAGTACCGAAAAAGAAAAAAGAAAAAAAAAAAAAAAAAACAGAAACGATACGGGACCATCATAGTTCTGAAAAAAGAACCCTGATAGATGCCTCCCTAATTCTCAAATGGACAGATTTCAATAAAAAATAAAAATAAAGAGAGATCTTTTTCTTTTTCATTTTTTTCTGTTGATTTGTATCCGGGATTGGAAATTGCAGTCCAGTTGTTTGCCTGTCTGCGTGTTTTCTTCCCACCCCTCTTTGTACTACGGCAAGTGTCACATCAGCAAGTGCCATGTCAGCAAGTGCCACGACAACAACCGCCACGTCAGCAAGTGCCATGACAGCAACTGCCACTTCAGCAAGTGCCACATCAGCAGGACCACATCAGCCAGTGCCGCAACAGCCGACACCGTACAGCGAACCGCAGCTTATGCTCCGATGCAGCAAACGCATCGCAGCAGGAGCAGGGTGGGCAGCCGCAGCAGAGCAGCAGCTTGCCAGCTACCCCTGCCCCTCCCCTCTGCAATGGAGGCACAGGGCAACCCAACGGTGGGCAATGCCGCATCTGGAAGTCCATGCGAGGTATGCAGCTCGAACCCGCTGGTCCCACAGGTCCAGCAGGTGAGTTCCACTGGGACAGCTGCCGGGGCCCTCGACGCTGCGCCAGTCCGGCAGCAGGGTGAGACAATGACGGCCGTCATGGCCCGCCTGTCCACCTACATGCAGCAAGTACAAGAGTAACAGTGACGCGAGGCAGCAGCAGAAGCCGCACGCCTCAACGCCATTGCACGCGATGCGGAGCAACGGCGCCGGCAGCACGCTGAAGCAGCTGCCAGCCATAATCAAGCTCGACGAGATGCCGCATCCGTCCTCATGGAGCAGGAAGCTGCTCATACCGCCGCACTCCAAGAATGGAATTTTGATCCAACGGAGACGCACGTGGAACCGACTTCAGAGGAACGGACCAAGTCGACCCTCGCCAACATCATGCACCAGGTCATCCTCACTTGCAACTGGCAACAAGTGGAGTTGGCTCGGCAGGCACGTATCATTTCAGATTATGAGGAGACTCTCAAGAGTTTCCACGGCCGCCTTGAGGAATTGGAGAAGGATGACGGGCCGCACAGGCACATGGCATCCTCGAGCATCGATCCATCGATCCGCGAGCTGAAGGAATGAATGGATCACCTGTTAGCGCTCGTCAGCAATTTGAACAGCTTCCAGCGGCTGGCGACCATCAGCCAACAAATAGCTGCAGTACAAGCTGACCTCTGTCAGCTGCAGCAGCAACCAACCGGGACCTGCAACAGCATGACGTCCAAACAGTAAAGATGCCGAAGTTCAGCATCGAAAAGTTCGACGACTACCACAAGGCAGACCCCGTGAGTTGGTGGCAAGGCTTCACCAACGAGCTCTCCATTCACACACTGTGGTCATGAGATTTTCAGATCAGATGGCGGGAACTCATGTATACTTGAAACCAGAACTAAACGTTTGCAAGCGGGGCACGAGCCCAGGAATCCTCACATACAAAAAAAAAAGAAGATGTGTACTGGTGCCATTACACGCGTCCGCTAGCTGGAAACCGGATCCAGCGTCCCTTTCGACATAGGAAAAAAACAGTCCATGGCACCCTTTTTTTTTCTTTTTTTTGGACCATCTCTCGATTTATGTGTGTCATCCTTGCACAGGGGTCATGCTAATCTTCTCTGTATCGTTCCAATGTTGATGGATGTCTGTGTATCGACTGGCACCCAAAATTAAGAATTATCAAAGCGTTTTTTCTCTCTCCAACCTGCAGTCATCCTATATTCAGTCCTGACACTACCTCTCCTCTGATCATTACCTCCTCAAAGAATACTGTCTCTTACTGATGTTTGGGCTTTGCAGACTGTGAGGTCTGCCACGACCTGCAGCTTACTAATGGAGCAAGTGCACACTCATACTATCCCCTCACAATCACAAAATCCCAAAATGAGCGGCCAGATCTAGTCCTTCCTTCAAGTTTACAAGCACTCGATCTGGCTGCTGATTTTGTGATTTTGCTTGTTTGGGGCCCTAGTGTGAGTATGCTCTAACTACAGGCAGTTCTTTCTGATATTGAAAGCTTATCTCTTTCCTGTTTGCTTCACCCACTGTTCGAGTCCTAACTTCTGTTCCACTGTCACAGCGACTGCGACCAATTGATTGCCCTGCTCCCCGGTCTTTTTAAACCCGATCACCCCTTTCCTCTGCCAGTCCCCTAGCACTTGGACACAGGGCACAGGTCTGTGTAAACCTACCCTCCAGTCTGCTACCACTACATATCTCAGTTGTTTCGTGATGTGCGCTGTGAACTTATGGGCGTCGTTAGACACTCCTCGGGGACACAAAATCCCCAAGGAATTGTTCGTTCCACCTATCCTCGGGGATGCAATCCGAAAAAAAAAGTGAAAATGCTCGTAAGGAAATTCCTCGGGCAATAGGAATTTCCCCAGCCATTTCTTCCTTGTGCCCAACGGACCTAGCGAGGTTCCTTGGGCACAAGGAATCCGTCTTTCACGGAGAGGAGAGGGCACACGGGTAGATAGACGTTACAGCCAAGAATCTGGATCGTGGCGGCACCCTATTGGCTGAAGGCCTGAAGCACAACTGTTTTTTCTTTTCTTTTTTCTGACATCGGTCTTCGGAAATGTCCTCGGGCGACGTCCCCGAGGACAGGTGGAACGAAGGACCCAAATTTCCTTTTGAGCTGTTAGGAGTGTCTAACGACGCCCTATATCTGTCTGCACATTCATTTCAAAAAAGCATATTTGTTTCTCGCTTTCCAGATTACAGTGTTACACCCATTATAGTTCCTCTGCAGACTTGACCCACGCAACCCCATCCTTCCTTTCTTTTGTTTTTTTTTTTATCTGCAACCCCATCCTTCCTTATGTGAGTGTGGAGGAGGGGTTGTTATCCAATCATTTGTCAATGACAGATTTTTTTATTTTTTTTTAAGTCCAGGGTGTTGTAGAGGCCAGTTACTAGGCTCACATTGATCTCCGGAAGCTGTCAGCCATGGTTGGCCTGAAGAGACGAGGCTACCTCCCATCCCATCCTCGCATCAATACTCCTAGCGCACCCCCTGTTCCTACTATCCTACCTCAGTGTGACCAGCACTCAGGACCATTACCCTACCATCGAGGGGAAAGTCCAAACTTGGACTGAACAGTAGTGACAGGCACCTGCCGGTGTCCATGCGCAAGGCTGCGGAGTTTTGAACCCGCAACCTTACACCACAATGCGCATTTCCAACCGGTGCTCTAACCACTGAGCTAAAGGTGCTGCAGTTGTTGTAGCTATGGCAATGTTTTTCTTTATCTTTTTTTTGTCTTTTTTTTCTTTTTTTGTCTTCTTTTAAAAAAAAGAAAAACGCCGAGGGTGTTGTAGAGGCCAAGGACCAGACACATGGTGATTGCTGGCAGCGGCAGCCAATGGTTGTCCTGACAGGGTGGGCCCACCTCCCAACCCATCCTCACGTCAATACTCCTAGCGCACCCCCTGTCCCTACTACCCTACCAGGCCAGCACTCAGGACCATCGCCCTACCAGTACTGACGGCAACTTGGACCGAATAGCAGTGACAAGCACCAGGTTCTTTTTCTTTTTTTTTTAATCCAATGTTTTGGCCACCACTGCCAACTCTAGATGGAGTGAGGGAATCCAACCAGAGATGAGCAATTGTCTCCCAAGGCTTAGCCCAGTTAGATCTTGCACAGGTAAGAGATATGTCCAGATTTTTGCTTGCAGCTATACGGTAGACGGTGTCACAAGCAAGGACGGCATCCACAGAAGACTGGCAGTTCTGGCAGTTCTTTATAATTCTGGTAGCTTCTTGAGTTGCAGTATGAGCATCGCATGCCACGAGCTCTGTGCGTTTACTGTAACATGTAACGCCTTGCGCATTGACTTCGAAGTTGTAAGCGTGTATTTCCAACTCTTTTGTAGCTTGTCCCCTGTGATTTGCTGTGTGGAGTGAGACTACCAGCTTTTGACTGCTACTGCTACAGCAGTTTTCTTCACCTGAAATGGCCTTACCATTTGAAAAATTGTATGTGTAGAAATGTAGTACAGTCAAACATGGAGTGTGGAAAGTGAGCCATCTGTGGAACGAGGAGAAAAAGGATTGGGTGACAGAACAGGAACTTGCCTCCCAGCTCCAAGGATGTCACCGACGAGACGAGAATCTACAATCCATTATCAACAGTTGTTTCATCCCAGAAGTGTGGAAGGAGTTGTTCAGAGAGGTCTCAACTTGGAAATCGGGTGAATGTTGAGTGAGGGGGGGTGGCACAGGAATTAACCCCCGCAAGGTCCTATCAATTCTCCCATAAACAGCAAGGGTCGGGTACGGTGGCGGTGTTTACTTCTTTCCCAATTACCCCCTCCACGCAAGGCCTTCCTTAGTATCCTGAATGAAGAGGGGGAAAGAACAGTCCTAAACCCCCTTGTACTCAGAAAAGTCAGAGTGTTGGGATCATGGACAAAAACAATCACGAAGCCAGGAGATTTCGGCCGTGCTCTGATACTACACCCCGTGCGTCGCTGTGCGCTCTGGTACCTTGCAGGGGACCGCCGGCAGGGCCCAGCCTGCTTCCCGCGCGACACGTTGGGGGAGGGCTATTCCTTCTGCTGACGTGGCCTTTACACCGGACCGTCTGTTTGCCACGTGGCAAGCAACGTAGAGCCCGTCAAGGGGTGTAAGTCTGGCGGGAAAGGGCTGTTACTAGGGTTGGCAGAAGTGGTTCGTGGAGTGGTGCCTGTGCATATGTGGGTGGGGGTGAGTGAGGCGTGAGAGCTGAGTGGTGGTAGGTGATGGCGGATTTGAGTGAACTGCGGACAGAAGCTGCTGCGTGGCTTAGTACCGTTCAAGCAAGTAGTGCGCGTCTAAGCCAGGTGGTGGCGAAGCTGTGATCGGCTGCGGCCGAAAAGATGGGGCCGTCGTTTACGTGGATCCGGAGGAAGCAGCGATACATGATGGAGATTACATGGGGGGTGGAGGGGGGGCCGCCCCCCTGCCTGAAAGCGTTAATAGATAGGCCACAATTGCGTGATTTGATGCGGTGCTTCTACGAGGAGCTTGAGGAGGGGCAAGGTCTCTGCGCCGCGTTGGAAGATCGATGTTGCGATGATGACGACAATATCGTGGACGACGCTCATGGCAATAACACCATCGCTGACGACGCCATCAAGACCAACAGGAACAACGATAATAATCTCACCTACATCGCCGGTATCTACAACAACAACAACAACAACAACAACAACAACAACAACAACAACAACAACAACAGCAACAGCGACAACAACAACAACAACAACAACAATAACAAGCCAATAGTGCCTGTGACTAACTCGCTCATATCTGCACAGGCCACAAACATCGACATCAACAACTACACCGTGCCTGTAACCATGCCGCTGGAATCTATACAGGCCACGAACATCGACATCCATAACTACAGCAACAACAACAAGACTGCACACGGCAGTGGCATGGAAAGAGGGAGTCTGACTTCGTGTGCGCCTGGGAGCAACAACAACTACAACAACAACAATAACAACAACAATACCGTCGGTGAGGAATCTGCGTCTCTTGTTTTCCTTCTTGGGTGATTCCGGCGTTGATTGGGGGGATAGGATTGTTCAGCAAACAGGAAGGCTGTGCGGGAGTGCGGGGAGTGGGATGGTGGCGTGAAGGGGTAGGATAGTGAACGCTAGTTAGCCAGGTTGCATGTGAGGGGTTGGCTTCACCGTATCTGGCTTTCGACTTTTTCCTGCTCGAGCAAGCCTTCGATTAATCAGGTTAGCCGGGGGGAACATACTCTTTTGCTATAAACATAGGTTTCTCCACGTGGCAGGGCAGGATGTGCAGTGGTGTTCGGCATCAGGGCTGCCTACGCAATTCATTTCTGTCCTGCCACGTGGGTAGCGTGCTATGAATTCTTGTATCAGTGCCTCCCCACTTGAGTGCTTTTGTGGATTGTTAGGATCGTGGGGGGCATATTGGTGTGGGTAATCCTACATAAGGTAGTGTAATAGTGCAATCAAACTTTGTCCAGAGATTTGCTACAATTGTCATTCTACCTTCCTGTTCTGAAAGCCCCTCCTCCTCACGGTGCTGTAAAAGTTCTTTAGAAGATGATGAGGGTTTCAGATTAGGGATATGAATTTCGATTGTGCTGGGCAGCTAATTCCCTCGGTTGAGGGCAATCAATGCTGTTCATCAGATTAATGGGTGTGCCTACGTGTCGGTTCCGTTCACCGTTCATGTTTATAAGTAGGATGGACACGTGGCATGTATACATGAGCCCTGTTTGTTTACAGACCACCCACTTCTAAATGTCAAGGGACGCTGGACCCGGTTTCCAGCAGGTGTTGCTCCCCACCAATAGATGGAGCCTCCCCGAGCATGCTAGTGGTGTCTGCTCTTATCAGCACCTCTAGCATTCACTCGGGTTGTTTAAAAAAAAAACAATCTTCAGACTCGCACCGAAAGTCCCTGAAGGTACGGACCCCATGATATGGATAGAAAATCGCAACTGGTCTATTCCTAGAAGAAGAACACAAGTTCTTTATCAGGATTCAATCTCGAAACAACACGCAGCAAGAATAGATATGAGGAACGATTCCTTTTGGCCCGATCTTTTCAAACATGGAGAAAATTACCTCTCCCAGATAAGATCTCTCCAGAGAGATGGGAGGAGATTTGTCAACAACCCCTTTTTTTTAATAATAGATGGATCACAAACTCTCAAGGGAGAATGTTACACTGTATGGACTCTCCATGGAGGGGATGGGTCAAAAATGGAATCCTCAGGGTAGGAGATATCTGGAATAAAGAAACCAAAGATTGGATCCCCTACTCTGATCTATCATCTAGACTGAAATATTGTAGACAAGTTGAATTGACACTTGAACTTCTACTTGAGCTAGTCCCTCTGGACTGGGTTAGAATCTTAAGAAAAGGACCTAAGTTACAAGAAGGAGACTGGTAGCAGATAGGGAATGTGATTATGATGGGGGGGGATGGGACAACTCTTCTGACTATTTTCATGATAGGATATAACAATATCCTGGGACAAATGCACCCGCAGGAAACACGGTGGGTACAACAGGAACAAGTCTTCAGGATAAGAGTATTAGAGGATAAAAAACAATGGTACGCCTTCATGTCTAAGACCTCAATAGATAAGTTACCTCTTGATCCTGTCAGTTGGGGCTGGACTTCTTCTTTTGATAGAAAAAGGAAGTGTTGTTGCTCTCTCCACACGCTAATAGTTAAATCAACATACCGAATGCTTAGACCTAAACTGAATCTAATGGTTCAAGAACATTAAGTCCAAACCAGCCAAAGTAGCGGCACTAGAATGGCAAATAGAGCACCGATGTCTCCCAACAAACGACTGGATCATTGATAGAACCTCGTTGGAAAAGAAGGGGTTGGCGGTCCCATGGTGTAAATTTTGCACCTCTGCATTCCGCTCTAGGAAAATCCCGGAGACAATAGAACATATCTTTCTACAATGTCCTGGATCAGTATGGATGTGGAGATGGCAGGATAGGATATGGGGTCAATTAGGTACATCACTCAACTGGCCGTGGGACTGGAAGGCATTGTTATGTGAGGCTTGGAACCCAGACCAATTCGACGAGTTTACTCATAATCTATTTATTATTGGACGTAGAGCGCTCATGTGGGCCATTTGGCGCCATAGGTGCACCTATGAAATGGAGGGAGCAAGACTGGATGGTCAGGAATTCATGGAATCTATCAAACAACAAACACACACAGAAATCACAACGCAGTGGGAAAAAGTTAAAGAGAGAGTCAAATTTTTATCATCCTATACCTTTCTCGGCCTTTTGGCAAAGATCAAGTGTAGTATCAGTTCTGATCAGTTTAATATCTGATCTGTGGTCCATCGTACCACAACAATATTCAAAAAAAAAATAAAAAAATAAAAAAAATCATCCAAATCGGAAATCCTTTAACATCTTCAAAACTTCAGTGGTGCTTGGCTTGGGGGTCAGCAGGGGGGGAAATTGGGAAGGATCATATGGAAGGGGGAAAAGGCTGATCAACACCCAGGAGAAAGACAGGAATTTAAAAGAGATTATCATCTCAGCTTCCAAGATTGGACAAATATTGATCCCTCTGTACCTCTGCGTCCTATGTCAGAGTTCCCGGACCCTTTTCCACCTTCGGCATTGTGTCTGGTCCCTCAGAGTTGGTATGGTTTGGATTAAAAGTCCCTTTTGTCCTAAATCAGAATTTCCAACCTTAGTTGGTTGGGAAACAGTTGCTTACATGTTATGGATAGATTTGGTGCTCACTCAAACGAGTGAAGAGGTAGCAGTTTCAAATCTAATTCAGGCACACATCAACTTAGGTCAAATTTTCAGGATGATGTATTCAAGGGACGCTGGACCTGTTTTCCAGCAATGTGATGCTCCCCACAAATAGATCGGAGCAACCAGAATAGGGTACTAGGGGGGCATGCTCGTATCATCTCCCCTATCAATTGGATTCAGGTTGGTTTATAAAAAAAAAAAAAAAAAAAAAAAAAAAAAAAAAAAAAAAGAATAGATACGGCAATTCAAGACTTGGAATTTGATCCAGCAGAGTGGGCTTGGACACCAGACGGAAGCAGAAGCCTCAAGAGTCGAAACGAATGTCCCCATTCAGGAGCACACAGTCAAACTGGGATACAACTTGCTCCTCAAAACAAAGGATCCTGACCCAACGATCAAGAACAGATGGCAGAAGTTAATAGGACAAGACGCTAGTCAGATACCACAAATACCATGGAAAAAATTCAAGTCAATCCATCCTGTAAAATCAGAAGCCTCCAATGGCTCATCTGATACGTAGCTCTACTGGTTAAGACGTGGCTGCACATCAGAAGAAGTAAGAGTGACCCTAACAGTTCAGATTTATGCGCGGTATGTTCAGAAAATGAACCAGAAGAGCCTTTCAAAAAGGAAAAAAAAAGATAGCTGAGGAGGACGAACCGTACGGCGGCGCCGTAGCGCTCAATGTCGGGGACGCTTAGCGCATCTACCTTAGGGTTTCTCACGTTCGCGGAGCTCACCCGCCATGCCTCGGAGCGCATAGCACGGGGAAGGCGGTTTCCTTAGTGTCGACCAGGGAAGTCGAGCAAGAGGAATAGAGCTTGTCCTTAGTCTGGCTGGAAAGGGGGAGAGGTGTCGGGCGAGACAGTCGTCTTCATCAGAAGCCGTGACACCATGGCCCGAAAAGGCGGGGTTTGTGAACTATACGAGCATACCTGAACCGAAGAACGCTGGTTGCAAGCGTCCTTCTGATGGAATAGACTGACCTTGTGTATTTCGTCCGCATTCTTCAGTCTGGGATCTCACTGAAGTGATCCGCAGCAACTTGCAAATAGCGAGTAGAAATTAGGAAAGCGAGTAGAAATTAGGAAAGCTGTAGAACTCTAGGGTTGCTTGAGGAGGGATAGTACGGGGAATCCCCTCGCGTTCTTCGTACTTTTCCATACACGAATGCAGAAGAGGAGTTTCATATACAGCGGAGTGCTCTGTTTCCGTTCCATTTTTGAACAATGCGGATGGGAGTCGGGATCATATGGGGAAGTAGCAGTAGAGGAGCGGTGAACAGGGGTGGAGGATAAAGAGAGACAATAGTTGGTTATGAGTCGGGGTGAAGAGCTTGAGTAGGGCTGGAATGTGACACAGCCGACTTTCCGGAGCAACGCATCTGGTCGAAGGGCAGCTCGTACTCCCCTCTATTCGACAAGGTGAAAGCAGAAGGTGAAAGCAGAAGGTGGCACCGAGACTACTCGCTATCCGGGGATCGACACAGGAGGTGAACCGCGGGAGCAACGAGCGGCCGTTGAACTTCGAGAAGAATCAGAAGGGCGAGTGATCGAACCCTGCAGACAACAAGGGCGAGATCTCCATGCGAGCTCTGCAAGAACAAACGTGAGAGTCAGCAACAGCGAGGAACCACCGCCAATTCTTCGGATAGCCAGGACCTCTGGCAGAATAAGGATACTTTGAAGAAACTGCGGGATTCCGATGGAGTTGAACGTACGTTGCTTGAACTGTGGGTGTGAACTAAGATGGGTCTGTGTGATAGGGCAGTGCCATCGACCATGAAATGGTGATGATGAGGTAATACTATGGAGAGCGAATGTTGTCTATCAGATTCTGCGGAATAGACGGGATGATTCTCACAATCCAGGGGATGATAATGACGATAATGCTGATGATGCTGATGATGATGATGATGCTGATGATGATGATTATGATGATGATGATGATGATGATGATGATGATGAAGAAGATGTTGATCATGACGAGGAAGATAACGGTGATATGGGTCGTTGGAATCAGAAGACTGGAGATGGCAAAAATTATGGTGAAAATCTGAAGTCGGGGTGCGGCGATAATGATGGTGATAATGAATCGTTGGCATCGTTGGAATCACCTCAAAATGGCAATCGCAACCATGATGATGAGGAGGAGGAGGATGGGGATAATGGTGGTATGAATAGTTGGACTCTGAAGATTGGGGATCATGGCGATAATGAGGGTGATAATGAATCTTTGACAGCGTTGGAATCACCTCAAAATGGTGATCGTGATGATGATGATGAGGAGGAGGAGGAGGATGGGGATAATGGTGATATGAGTCGTTGGAATCAGAACACTGGGGATACAGAAAAGGGCGACCATAACGCAGAACTGGGCAGTACAGTCCATTGGGATAAGAAGGGAAGTGAAGACAGGGGAGGGGGTTTCAAAGGTTCTGGCTACATGAAATGTAGTGAGCACGAGGGCAAAGACAACAGTGTGGAAAAACCTCGTAGCCGGCGGGGGAGGAGACGGGATTGGAGAATTCCTTGGTGCTGAGAGAAAACGTGTGCATGTGTGTGTGTGTGTGTGTGTGTGTGTGTGTGTGTGTGTGTGTGTGTGTGTGTGTGTGTGA